ATTTTTAAATCTTTAGGGGGAAAAAGACCAGAAAATGTTACTTTGTTTTGTTTCCTTATATCATCGCATCAAAATATAACAACCAAAATTGAAAATTAAAGCTAAGTCACTAAATATCTTTTTTCCATATAAATGAATTTTCAAGAAAAATCATACAAGATTTAGTTTTTCAACATTGACAATTCCACATGAGGCAGGAGTGTTTTTCCTCTATGTGTTTTCTATTTATTTTGTGTTCTTAAAAGCATCTGAAAACTCAGTCATAAAAGTAAAGTATATAGTGGAATTTTTTCTTAATACTTCAAGTGTTTTTATAGCCAAAGCTGTCTACTGTCTTTCCTTTGTAGAACCATGAACCCAAGTTACCTTTTAAATAAGACAGACAGCTCTCTCTCTTCAGTGGCGCCATCCTGGAATAACAGGCTACATTTTGTAAAAGTAAGCACTATAATACATTTGCAAAAAAAACAAAAGAAAAGAGAGTCTGGGGCTGGTCTGGTGACATAGTGGTTAAGTTTGTGCACTCCGTTTCGGGGACCCGGGGTTCACAGGTTTGGATCCTGGGTGCAGATCTACACATTGCTCATCAAGCCATACTGTGAAGCATCCCACATATAAAATAGAGGAAGACTGACACAGATGTTAGCTCAGTGACAATCTTCCTCACCAAAAAAAATAGAAAGAAAAAGACAAATCTACCTATACTTCAAGTAATCAAGGCTAACCCTCCTAGGGATTTCTCGAACAATTTTGACCTTCTCCAACTCTGATTTTTCCTTCTCTAACTCTGATTACACTTCCAACAGGTCGACAGTAAACATGTAAACACTTTCTGATGGTTCATAGGAACCCATCTCCCTAAGCAGCCACATCTTGAGGAAGAAATCTTGTCTTTCTCTTCCTTTATATCCTCCACAGTGCTTGGCCAGTAAATATTTAAGTACTTGCTGAGTTATTGGTTCTTCAAAACCACAAAGTTACACACACACACACACACACACACGCAATTGTTCTACAAAGAAAGAAGGGGGATTTTTTTATCATATGACATAGATGATCTATCTTTCAAGGGCTGAAAGTGAATCTAAGATGTACTTCTCCCGGCAATGAAAAACTGTCACCGTGCTCTCTGTAGAGTTGAAAACAATGAGGTCCTTACTGACACTCGCACTTCACACCTGCTGCCCCACCCCGCTAAGTGGGCCAGCAGAGTAAGGCAATTATCCAGGTGACTCATGGAAACAAGCCATTTTTAGCTGAAATATCTAAGCAGTTCAAGCTAAAGTAGGTTGTTACCTGGGTCATTCGGGCAAAAGCAGGTTGTTTTGCTTAAATGTCCTGGTGGTTGGGGGAAGGGTGGAGGCCAGCTGAACAGCAGGTCAGCCAGAAGCTCTCCCAAACCCTGGCATTGCCGCTGATGATGGCAGGCGGGTTTCACGAGCTCTGGAGGAGGGAAAGGAACCAACACTTTTGTTATATCCTGTTCTACTGCATACATACACGGACGTAGTCTTAATTTGAAACTAAGAGCTTTTGGTCTTAAGAAATTACCTCTTACCCTCAGTGATTGGTGGGAAGAGGAGCACTTGATTACAGAGATCCTGGCTGTTCAAGCATCGAGAGGCCCTTCACAGATATCAGTTCATTGAACAATAGAACCTAACATCAAAACCGTTTTAAAGTTCCTGGTCCTTGTAGAAACAACTTTTAAGCTCTGTCTTGTTCATGTTGAATTCAGTGCCACTTCCTGGCTAGGACATCTGATGCACATGAGCCCTTGACGCACTCTACCAAAGGGATGATTGATGACTGCCCCTGGGAGAGATGGCTGCGAGTGCAGTGCTTCCCCATCTCATGTCTGCCCAAGAGCCTTGTCGAAAAGCTGCTTTCCTCCGTGTCCAGGGCCAGGAACCATTTTACGTTGTTGGCTCTCTGAGCAGCATTGCTTAGACTTGTGTCTCAGGAGGATGTTGCATGTTTTATTTGCATACTCAGCTCACTAAGCTCTAGGACCACAGGCCCTGCCAAAGACACTATAGTAAGCCATTGTGTTTTTTCAAACCAAAGCAAGCTCAGCTTCAGTGAAAGGGGACAGAGGGTGAAGAAATAGGGTAGAATAGAATAGATAAGATGCCTCAAGGAGTCAGGACACTCATGCAACCTCCAGGGACATTTCTTGGCCGTAGATTATTCACCTTGATAGCTAGTGGTTCACCGAATAGACTCTGGAGTCAGGCTAGACGGGCATAGAATTTTGGTTCTTCCATTTACTAATGGAATGACTTTACAAATGTTGCTTTAACTTCTCTAAAGCCTCAGTTTCTTCATCTCCTATATAAGACTAGATATTAATAAATCCTTACACATTTGTTGGGAAGATTAAATCAGACAATGTGTGTAGAACACTTAGCACAGGGATGGTACAAAATAGGCTTTCTAAAACGGTAGCTGTTAGATCACTCTCATCACCATTTTCTCCTAGTGCTTTGGGGGTTGTCCAGCCTATTGCACCTCAGGAGTGACATTTCTTCCCTGGCTCATCACAAAATGAAACATAGCTTAATGTGTTTCTCCTCTTCTTTTGCAGCCCAAATTAGGTTCATGGCATGATTGATATTTTCTAAGACATTTAACCTGTAGTAATATTAAGAAAACTAGGACTGAAATGCCTTCAACCTGTGAGCTGGTTTTCATCTTTTTTATATTTTTGATCTCTTAAACACAATCTTAGGCATTTATGAATTTGTATAGATGGACTTAGAAGGATTAAAAGACTAAAAAGAGTCATCTTCGAAGAGAGAAAAAAAAATAAAGGTAAGTTGTATGGGACATTTAATTCATGAATTGGGTTTCCAAGGATTAGAGTTCAGGTTTTCAGGATGAGACAGAAGAAGAGAGGAGATTCTAGCTCGTGATGGCAGAGACAAAAGAAGAATTCCTGATGCCACTAGACATAATGGCCATATTTCTTCAAACAAGAGTGAGTCCTGTGATTGTCTAAAAAGCATCAGTGTACCTAACATTCAAAAGAATATTTGTAACAAAAATGCCCTAGAAAATCTGGACTTTGGGGTTACTACCAGCTGGAAAGCCCTTCATCTATATTCAAGTTTGGACTGCCTATGTCTGATCTAGTATGGAGCCCCTTTCTGTGGGACCTCCCTGTCTCAGGGCATTGACTCCTCATCTCTATTGAACTGAACAAGGTGCTCAGATAGCATTATCTCCTTTGGAAATTTCACTTCTGTAGAACTGAAAAATTTGTAATACGTGCTTTTTGGGTTTTTTAGGTTTTTGCAGGCACATTATGATATTCACCTCAGTTTAATCACAGCTGCATATCACTTTCTTTCTTTCTTTCTTTTTTGTGCTGAGGAAGATTGTCCCTGAGCTAACAGCCATGCCAATCTTCCTCTCTTGTATGGGGGATGCCGCCACAGCATGGCTTGATGAGCAGTGTGTAGGTTTGTGGCACCAGGGATCCAAACCCGCAAACCCCAGGCTGTCAAAGTGGGGAATGCAAATCTAACTACTACACCACTGGGTCAGCCCCTATATCACTTCTTTTTTTTTTTTTCTTGAGGAAGATTAGCCCTGAACTAACATCCACCACCAATCCTCTTTTTTCTGAGGAAGATTGGCCCTGAGCTAACATCTGTGCCCATCTTCCTCTATTTTGTATGTGAGGTGCCTGCCACAGCATGCCTTGATAAGCAGTGCTAGATCCACACCCAGGATCCAAACTGGCAAATGCCCTACTGCTGAAGCGGAGCACATGCACTCAACCTCTACGCCACCAGGCTGGCCTCATCACTTTTTTAATTAAACATTTCTCTGTTTCCATTTCTGGTATTTGGTATTTGGTCACTGGTAAAAGATCTGCCACTTCTAAACTCCAATATGACAGATAACTAAATCCAGCAGAAAATTTGCTTTTTATAAATTCTTACCCATCACAATGACTTCAAGCTAAGAAGAATGTGCTCCTTCAATTAAATACAAATTATCTCCTTGACTTTGCAAAACAAATGAATAAAAATTAAATTGAAAAAGTATGTCTTCACTAGAAAACAAGAGCTCTAAAGGAAAATTACTTCCATAATCAACATTAGTATACCTTATTAAAATTCCATTAAGTTACACTGTTTATCATGTCATTCCCCTGCTTAAAGCTTCTCAAACACTCCCCTTTCCTTTCTATCAAGTCCATGATCCCCAGCATGATTTAGCCCCTTCCTATCCCTCCAAAATTACTTTGCGCCACTCTCCTCCTGTCTTCCTTTCTCTAGCCACACAAGGTCTTATTCAGTCTTCCAAAGAGCTAAATCCCTTCCTACCCCAGGCCCTTTGCATATACAGACATCTTTACTTGGGTGCTCTTATTTCTCACCCTCCTTCCCCTACTGTTCCTTTACCCTGTTGCACATGCTCTTACCTCTATGTACTTATTCTTTATAGTTTTTGTTCATAATCGTCATTGATTCATCATTGGAGCGCTATCTCTCTCCCTGCTAGATTCAGATTTCCATGAATAGGTACTTTATTCCTATTCATAGCTCTATCCTCTGCTCCTAACAAGGAAGCACACAGTAGGTGCTTACTAAATATTGATTGGCTCATGAAATAAACACTACAGATTTTAGTGAAACCTATAAAGTTATTGTATTACAACTTCTTCCTTGCCTAACTAATAATATTATAGTTCTTCTGAGAGGTTGGCACTCTTTTGTAGGTACTCCAAGAAGTTAATGTCAACAGTCATTTTTTAAGGCCCAAAGGAAATGATTACTGCAGCAGTTTCTAGTGGGCAGAACTGCTTTGACTCGTATTTGCCTAAGATGAAAGTATCTAGACTTTTTGTTAAAATTCCTTGCTTTTCTGTCTGTCAATTTCAACCAGAATTCTCTCCTCCCCACCTAACCAAGCCTGTGAAAGATAAAATACTTTCTTTCGAAAGTTGAATGTTGTATCTTTATCTTTAAAAAGGAAACCCTAACAACTGAAAAACTGGTTCAGTATCAAATTCTTATCCATTTTCCCTCTTTCATTCTTTTTAAGTAGTTGTGATGTCACAAATGCAACTCCAGTGTTCCACCAAATGATGTAGACTAAGAACTGAAACTGCTCTGCAATTGCCCAAATTATAGTGAATATCAGATAAAAGGTTTGCTATCTCCTGCTGTCTATTTTCAGGAGCCATAAATAACCCAGCACAAGCAGAGCTACCCCCTGCAAGCAACACGATGCCTTCTGGAAGTCTGAATAGGGGAAGAACAGTCTTGCCATCTCAGTAATGTAAGTGGAAATCAAACAAATTATCTTCTTAGTGATCAAAGTTGATCAGAGCCTCATGACCAGCCAAATGTCCTCTTCTGTTCTTTATTTTCCCCAAAAAATGTCTACCATACAATGCTGTTATTATTTGCTGTCCATGTGTGGTTAGCACTAAAACAGAGAGGTGAACCAATCATTTCTGTGTTTCTGAGACATTTTAATGATTCACATAATAACCAGAAAATACTCAAACTGGCCTGTCCTGAGATTTAAAACAAAGACCCGTTCAAATAAAGAAAATGGAAAAGCTATTTTTGACTGCCCAAAGAGAGGTATGTTGATACTGGTTTCCTTCGAGCTGTCTTGTGATCAAATCGAGTCAATAGCACAAGTGTCCTCCTGGCCTTGGAGAGGGTTAGCTCACAGAGCAGCACAGTTTACACAGGATCATTTGCCAAAATGTGAACTTGGACTTGGCTGTACTTCCCTTCTGAAAGTAAAGAATGGAAAGTCTTGTCACACTGGAGATTCAGTTAAACTTGATTCAAATATTTAGGCTATGACTACCCAGGATGAAGTGGAGTTGAAATACAGTGAATTTTACTAATGTGCTCCCGCTTGTCCCAGGACCTCAGCTCCCCTCCTCCCTTACACACACACCCTCTTCAAGCTTGAACATCCCCTCCTTTGCAGTCCTCTTGGACCCATCTCATGCCCCCAACTCTGGTTAGAGTCCCCTCCTCTGTGTTCCCATAGTACCCCGTGCTTACCTCTATCATATGACTTACACTTTATTTTTAATTACCCATTTGTTTGCCTTTTACCCTAATAAGATCCAAAAGGTCTTATTACATAAAGAATCTTATTTTATTCCTCCTTATATCCCCAGCATGCAGTTCTGTTCCTGGTCAATCATTATTTCATAAAAGAATGAATTAAAGAACTATACTAAAAAAGTCCCTGTGGAGTGACAAAATGCCTCAAGTAACTTTCTTAGAATTGAGAATAATATATCTTCTTAACGTTATCCTGAAATCTGCAGTCTAAAAGTACCAACTCTGAGATTTCCAAGACTGCCCTCAGAGACAGCACAATGCCTGAGGAGCGCTGCAGTTGGCTATGAGCAGTGGCGACTTAGAAATTAAGGGGGCAATCTTTTGTCCAGAATACTGGCTCCAGTTCAACTCAGTTTGCAGATTCTATCACTTCCCTCTAATCCTCCCAGGGCGGGGTCCTGCTGCACTGTATCCACTTGCCTCTAAAGTCAGAGAGGCAGAGCGCGCAATCTCCTTCTTCCCCACAGCTGTTTCCATGCCTTGTTCTGTCACCTTTATTGCTTCCTTGAAACCCTCCATCCACTGAGATTACTCTCTTAGCCACTCCATCCACCATCTACTAATATCCAGTGCACTCCCAGCATTCTTTGAGGATATTAAAACGTGCTTCATGGTTTTTCTCTTCCTGTAGTCGCCAACCATCATCTTAGGCAAATCCACTACCCACATTGAAAAATCATTTAAGCCTCTAATTCCTTGACCTCCTCTGATTCAGTGTCTTATCTCCAAGCACCAGCCTCTTCATTGATTTTTCCCTTTACTTGCTCCTTCCTGGCTGTTTCTCTCCTGTTTGGGGCTACTGATTAGGAAAGAGGGGAGGACAGATGGAGGCAGAAGTTTGACTTAGACTAGAAACCCTGGACAAAAGAGATAATGACTATGAGCCACGTAACAAAGAGAAACTGGTGACTCAATGTGGACAAGGAAAAACAAGAAAGTAAAACGAGGTCCCAAATATCAAGTATAATGAAGGAAGGTAAACTTAATCTGACAGATAGAACTCTAGAAAATATGTTAATATGGAAGTAGTCACCATCTTCAGAGCCTTTCAGCTGCTTCAAAGGACCCTGTAGTTATGAGGTCAACTTCCCCCTTCTGACTCTCATCTCCGCCTTTGGAAACAAGCCTGACTCTGTCAGATCTGTTCCTAAACTTGTCTGATACAGAATGAAAGAAAAGGTTAGTGATCTAAGAGAAGGAAAGGAATGAATTGACTCAATCAAGAGCTGGGAGAAAGTAGGAGGAGGAATATGAATAGGACAGCTCCCCTTGAGAGCTGGAGTGACAGAGGGAGGAGTGGAAGTTGAAAATAGGAGGCTCCCTCAGGATATAGGAAAATTGCAAAGGAAAGAAAATACAACAGTTGGATCCCATTTATGCCTTGGAATCTCCAAGGAATACAAATGGAGTTCCTCACTGTGTGCATGCTTGTGAATGTGTATATCTGTGTGTGTGTATCCGTGCTTTACTCTGGGCCTGAATCACATAGGTCACAGCCTCATCTGAATTACCTTGGAATTCAAATGTGGAGGCTGGGTATCACACAGAGGACCGAGTGAGGACATTTAGGATACAGAATATTCCACAGAGTGCTAGAGACCAGCCCCTGAATGAGCCGAAAGCTGCGGAGGCACAGAACCAAGATGGGCAGCCTTGATCTCCCACTACTGCTAGTTCGCAGAGTGCCAGTCCCTAACCTGGATCAACCCAACCATCTGTTTCTGTGGGCTTTCTCCCAAGCTACCAAAAGCAGTTGGAGAAAATTGGCTCTAAAGCAAATTTATGATATTCAAGCTCAGCTGGACCATCAGTGCTGCTCAGCAATTCTTTTCCTTACCCATGATTGGGTCCCTTTCCTATTCCCAACAGCAGCTGTGCCAATATTTTATCCTTCTTTTTCAGAGCTCCAACTCACTCTCTCCATTCATGCATGCATTCAACAATCATTTATTGAGCACTTACTATACACATTTCAAACACTTTTGTAGGGGCTTCTGTAAGATAAAAAATAGTCACAAATTGTTTGAAGCTCCTCTCATCAAAAAGATGGAATCTATTTCCCTGCCCCCTGATTCTGGTCAGACTATCTGATTTGCTTTGGTGAATAGAATGCAGCAGAAATAATGTTGCACTACTTTCTAGCAATGTCTCAAGAGTTCTTACAGCTTCCTGTCAACCTCTTGGAACCTCAAGACCATCATGCTGGGAAAACCCCTAGTCTAGTCTCCTTGAGGATGAAAGACAACAAGGATAGAGACACCTAGTCAATTTAGCCATCACAGCTGGGCCCAGCCACCAGCCAACCTGCCAACTGATAGCAGCCACCTGAGGAAGCCCCTCTGGGTATTCTCCATTTCCTTCTATCTCTGCTTGAAAATCAGCCAATTCTTGCTTTATCTCATCTCTTTCATGTAATACTCAGGGCAGCTAATAGCAGCCAATGCATACTCTCACTACCCTTTCCAGCAACTTCCCTGGCAACAAAGTCAAGGTCCTTCAAAGTCTGGCTCCAACATGCTTTTCTGTGCCAATTGACTCCAACACTCATCACATTCATCCATCCTACATGTATGGTCCAGGCCTCTGGACTGCTCACCATTTCCCAGACATGCCATGCATATTCACACCCTGCCTTTGCCTTTGCTCATCACTGATGATTAAAACACCTGATATATCCTTCAAGATTCTGCTTAAGTATATTTTTTTGTGAAGTTATCCACAATTTTATCCCATCCAATATCTTAGGTCAAAATTAGTTTCTTCCTCCTCTGTTGTCCCAGAGCAATTTGTCTTTAATCCTAGTAGAATATAACACTGTGTTATAGTCTGTATATTTCTCTTAAACCCTAATCTGACCTTTGGTTGCTAGAAAATGGGGATTTGGGGTCACAGATCTCTGTGCCCCGGGTGTGGAGTATGGACCACAATGGGAGCTCAGTTAGCATTTATTAAAATTAAATATATGCATACAAAGCCAACCGTATTCTAGCCAATTGAATAATTCTGTCCGCCCACATCTTACCAACCATCATAGCCAAGTATACGACAGTCTACCCTGATATTTAACTCAGCCAAAGTGACCAAGCCAGCCATGGGATAATCAGATCATTTTACACTGAGAGAACCATTCTAATTTTTCCAGAGCATTAAAAGAAAGAAGTTCCTAACGATACACAGATGGCCTAGAAGGGCTAATGCACTACATGTCCAAAGAGGAGGCACTTCATTTCCTTCTTGCCTCCAAGACAAGACTCATTATCTAATTTTGTGCATCTGTCTTAAAGTTATTTATAAATATAGACCATTACTTTAAAAGGACAATTTTTGGTCGCTGTTTAGAACTACCTCATTTAAATGCATTGAATCCTGGAAATGTAATGCATTTTCAATGCGTGAAATCATTGAAAAATGCAGAGAAGCACAGAAAAATGGATATCTTTAGAAGATTCTAGTTCACATTGGTTTGTGTTTCTGCTCACAGCACAAAGCTCTTGAAGAACGTATAATCTTATTCTGTGAAAGTTACAGATGTGTATGTAAAATATTCTATTATGCATCTTTTATTTTCCGCTCATATTTATTTTGATGATATCTTGAATTGTAAGCATTTCACGTGTGCTTTCTGGTTGTGTTTTTGTATGTTTTTTCTTAGACCTACAACTTGTTAGAGCTACAAGGAACCTAAAGATCGTGCAGCCCAATCCCTTTATTTTACTGAGATTCAGAAAGGTCAAGCAACTTGCCCAGGTTTGCAGGATAAGAAAATAGTAAGATTAGCAAGGTTTTATGAGTTCGCTAAGAATGGAAGTAGCATAATAAAACTAACATTTACCAAAGAAGGATTAGGATCTCTGAGTTCCATTCTCAGCCCAGATCAATTAAACATGTTTTCATTTGTAAGAAATTGGGGAGGAAATATAATCCTGCTTTACTACACTGGCAGAGTACTACATAAAATGCTTATCTACCATAATTCTACCAAAGAATCTGTGACTTTAAAAATTCCTATTCTTAATCAAAGTAGAGATTTGTTTTATATTTCAACTCTGTTTGCTTACACACACACACATACAAACACAGATATCCAGTAGTCTAGGTTAACTGGAAAATGCCTCCTTAACTACTGTGTATGCCTAACTAACAATAATGAAAATCTTACTCTGCCTGAATCCCTCAGATACATCA